AACCCCCTGCCAAAGCAGGTTCCCTACAGCAGGTCGCACAGGTAGGCATCCAGGCAGGTCTTGAACATCTCCAGAGAAGGAGACTCCACCACCTCCCTGGGCAGCCTGTTCCAGTGCTCCGTCACCTCACTGTAAAGAAGTTCTTGCGCATGTTTGTGCAGAACTTCCTATGCTGCAGTTTCCGGCTGTTTCCCCTTTTCCTGTCTCCACTCACCACTGAAAACAGTCTGGCCTCACCATTCTGCCCCCTACACCTTAGATACTTATAGACCTGGATCAGGTCCCCTCTCAGTCTCCTTTTCTCAAGGCTGAACAGACCCAGTTCACTCAGCCTTTCCTCATAGGAGAGATGCTCCAGGCCCTTCACCATCTTTGTGGCCCTCCACTGCACTCTTTCCAAGAGATCCCTGTCTTTTTTGTACTGGGGAGCCCAGAACTGGATGCAGTACTGCAGATGAGGCCTTACTGGGGCAGAGTAGAGGGGGAGGATCACCTCCTTTGACCTGCTGGCCACGCTCTTTTTAATGCACCCCAGTAAGCCATTGGCTTTTTTGGCCACAAGGGCACACTGCTGGCTCATGGCCAACCTGTCGTCCACCAGGACACCCAGGTCCCTCTCTGTAGAGCTCCTCTCCAGCAGCTCATCCCCCAACCTGTACCGGTGCATGCAATTATTCCCCCCCAGATGCAAGACTCTACACTTTTGTTAAACCTCATCTGGTTTTTTTCTGCCCAGCTCTCCAGCCTGTCCAGGTCTCGCTGAATGGCAGCATGGCCTTCAGGCATGTCAGCCAATCCTCCCAACTTCGTATCATCAGCAAACTTGCTGAGGGTGGCCATTATCCCCTCATCAAGGTCATTGATGAAGATGTTGAACAAGACCGGACCCAGCACAGACCCCTGAGGAACACCGCTGCTTACAGGCCTCCAACCGGACTCTGCACCACCAACAACGACCCTCTGTGCTCTGCCAGTCAGCCAGTTCTCAACCCACCTCACTGTCCACTCATCTATCCCACACTTCCTCAGCTTTGTTATAAGGATGTTGTGGGAGACAGCATCAAATGCCTTGCTGAAATCAAGGTAGACTACATCCACTGCTCTTCCCCCATCCACCCAGCCAATGACAGCCAGTTACACCACCACAGCACCATTAAAAACATTGACTGCACTTTGAAACAGGTCTAATCCACCTTAAGAGTTGTGTATGTCAGCTTTAAGAAAGACACAGCCCTTGGCAGCATTCTACTGCAGTGTCTTTTATCAATACCTGAGGTGTTAAAAAAGGCAGTTGAGAAACTGAAGAAATCAGTCAGAATATTAGTACATGTTGGCCAGTGTACTGTGTGTTTCCAGCTTAGCTTTCATACAAGAACTAGTAACTAAGCTCTTCTTTCCTCCTTGTTAGTGTCACATAGCTGATAAAGTGAATGGAGTGCACATTTTCAACTATGCACAGCAAAAGATAACTTCCACACTATAGAAACCATGAGGACTAAATTCCTGATGCCAGAAGTACAAACTCAGAAGAGCTGGAGGTTTTGACAGGTGATCTAGAGATGCTTGTTCACTTTGATACAAGAAGTCTGAAAGTTAAAGATTCTGTTTATAGGAATCTTCACTTAGACAAAAGTCTAAAGAATGTAGTCACAGTTTTGAAAACCTGCTGAACCTAGATTAAGGACAGACAGTGGTGGAAAAAGCACCAGGGTAAAACAGTGCCCACCCATGTGACTGTTCTGGTCCTATTGTCACACAAATTGTTTCATCCTAAAAAGAAACCCCTGAACTTTAGTACTATTGTTTAACATATTGCATAGAAATAAAACAGAATATAAATAAACCATGCCCCTAAGTCATTGTAAGTCCTCCTATAAAGATGTTTCACTTTATTTGTGCCAATAAGAATTTGAGGCCAAGTCCTTTCTTAATCCAACTGAAATACCACCAAAATAACTGAGGTAAGTTCCTGGTCTAAACTAAATTTCTAGTTAGCCTGATCAGAATGACAACACTGATTGTGGGGGGTTAACTGTAGCTGGCTGCCAGATGCCCCAAAACTGCTTACTCCCTTCTTCCGCAACAGAGGAGGAGAAAATCAGATTTAAAAGCTTATGGGTGAAGTTCAAGAGAAAATTGCTTATTTATTACTACCCCACACAAAACAGACTCAACTTTTGGAAGATTAATTTACTGCCAATGAAAATGTGAGTAGCGATGAACAAACAACAAAGCAAGAACACCTTCCCCACATATCCTGTCTTCCCAGGCTCACTGTCTCTCCTTTGTTTCTGATTCATATGCATCTCCCCCCTTCTTCACTGTGTCAGCAGGGTTGCTTTCTCACATATTTTCCCCTTACTCCTTTCATAGCTGCTGTAGTGGTTTCTTTTTACTGTTTACGGAGTGCCTTAATACAGAGGTGCCATCAGTATCACTGGGAACTTACCCCTGTGCTGTGTTGAGTCTGCTGGAGTCAGCTACAACCACATCCAACACGGGCACAACCCCTGGTGTCCTCACTGAGGCCACCCTAACAGTGCTTCTGCCACCAAAACCTTGCTATATAACTCAAGTCACTGCTGAGTCCCAGCTACCAGCTGCTTACAGCTTAGCAGAAAGACAATTTACCACCCCAACCTGACTTTAGATAAAGCTGCTTGTGAGCAGTAGAGATTTTGAGGTGTACTTGCTTAAGTAAGCAAGAGAAACAACTAGATGAGCCTGTCATTAACAAAGGTTAAGTTTGCCCTTATGTTCTAAGGAAGGCAGAGTTGGTGCATTCCCTTTGCATTCCACATGAACCAATCATGCCAAACATTCTTCTCATGCTCAGTCTGGGTCATATAAAAACACTCCCCTGAATGGGTTCAAAACATTTCTTTGAAAGGGTTGATAACTGCAGGACAATGGGAAATGGTTTTAAGTTGAGGGAGGGGAGATTTGGGTTGGATGTCAGGGGGAAGTTCTTTACAGAGAGAGTGGTGAGGTGCTGCACAGGCTGCCCAGAGAGGTTGGATGCCCTGTGCCTAGAGGTGTTCAAGGCCAGACTGGATGGAGCCCTGGGCAGCCTGGTCTAGTGTTAAATGTGGAGGTCGGTGGCCCTGCATGTGGCAGGGGTGTTGGAGATTCATGATCCTTGAGGTCCCTTCCAACCCTGGCCATTCTGTGATTCTGTAATTCTAATACAAATTGAGAGCAGCTAACCTCAGATCATCTCCAAATAACTGGAGAAGAAATTTTTATATACTTTAGTCATGATGTAATCATTAATAAGCTCTATGTTCATCATTCTGAAATCACTGACTTTCCAGATGAGCTTAAAAAGCTTACAAACTGGAGCTTGAATGATACGCACTGGTTATCCACAATATACAAACAGTGCTGACCTCTTTGGGAAGATGAGAAAATTTGATAAAACAACAGGCCATTCTGCACTTTTCTTAGTGTTTGTGAAACTATTAATTAATGTAAGTATGACAGCCCACTGACTGCAAGCCTAGTTAAACATTGATCTAAGTTAGTTCACCTCTTCACTGGAAAACTAAGGTTATTTACTGAGGGCATCTTGCATGACATGAATGGTTCCAACAGAAGCTAAAAGAGAACTGACTACAAAGGTCAGTTGTTGAGCACGACCTTTCTTCCAATCAGAGGTTCAGTACCATTGTTAACTCACCCTCAAATTTGAATTCTGGAAACTTGGTTAGATCTCCCTCTCCATACATCCTCTGAAGCCTGGCAAGTGATTCATTCATGTCTTTCTGAAACTCGGGGCCTACATCAACAGGCCCTCCAGCTTGCCTAAAATACAAACAAACAAAAAAGTTCCAATTAATAGTTCAGTTCTGAAAGTTTATATGGAATTTCTACATTTTCATAGCGATTTATGGATTATCATTTTGACAATCAACTAAAGCAAAAAATTCCAAACATTTTCAGAAGTGACACACCTTAAGGCCCACTTACCTTACAACTAAAGGTTCTCAGAATGGGTTCTAAAGGGCTTTTTGCTGTGAATAATGAAATTCCAAGCTACAGAGGCAGCCTTTGGAGACACAAAACCATGCTGAGTATCTAGATTTGCAGAACTCTGGAGTTTCACTTGTTCCAGGTGTGACTTCTTGACAAAACTGTGATTTGTACCTCTGTTATTTCTGAATTAATGATCATGATTTGAGTATTAAATAAGAAAAAAAAAAAAAAAAAGAATAACAAACAGAGGATACTTAATTCAATTGGACTCACACAAGGATTCCTTGGGATACATGTATAAAATAGTTACAGCAGTAACTCTGTAGACTAGTCACCATCTATTGCGTGCTAAGTGCCTTTTAACTCCTTATGAAAAAAGACATCAGGGTCTTTTTTATTTGCTTTTTTTTGCACATCTTCTTCCAGGTTCATAAGGCCAAGCCTTTAACTTGTGGCACTATCAGTAGGTGCTGCAGGAAAGCAAGAGTTCTCTTTCAGAACGGTTTCAGGACAGAATTAAACCCACTTTTGTTGTGAGCAAGCAAGCAAACTTGTTTTAGAGCAAACAACGAGCAGCATTTTTAACCCCTGTACCATCCACTGTAAGGTAACTCATCGTACTTACTTGCTTTTTGTGTTGTACTCCCTGATCTTGTCCAGGAAGAGCTTCTGAACCGGATCGAGCTCTTTTGCCTTATTAAAGGCAATGGCAGAGAAACCGATGTTTCTCCGCAGGTGAACGGAGACAGCGGAGCGAAAAAGGGAAGAAAGTCGCAGGATCTGATGCAGGATCATGACGGCGCCGACGATTTTACTTTAAAACAATCAAACAAGCGAATAGAACGCACCGATAACGACGCCCTTCCCTAACATAAGCGACCTCTCACCCAAACCAACAGCCCCGACCCACCTTTGCGGAACCTCAGTCACCTTGGGGCGGAACGCAGCGCGCATGCGCCCAGACCCGCCCTCCCGCGCAAGGCATGCTGGGGCTCTGCGCGGCCTACCGCTGCCTTACCTCGACCCCCACGGCCGCGCGCAGGTCTCGTGAGGGACGGCGTCCGCCGTACAGCCCCGACCAACCGTCCGCCGGACTGACAAAGAGTAACGGACAAACTGCCGCCGGCCCGTCACCGCCGGAAGTAGGAGCTGCGCTTCCGGGTGAGAGGAAACGGCTCGGGGTGGCCGTTCCCCCCCCCCCTCCCCCCTCCCGCTCTCAGATAGGCGCGCGCGAGGGCCGCCGGGAGGTGTAGTTCCCGCGGCTGCGCGGGGGGTGGCGGTGTCGGCGCGCCCTCCCCGCCCGGGCCCGCGCTGGGCCGCACCGCCCAATCCCGAGCGCGCGACGGACTCCGCGGGGCGGCGGTGGCGGCGGGAGTCGGCGGCGCTGCGAGGGCGGCGGGAGGAGGCGTGGGCCGCTGTGCTCGGGGCCGGCGCTTAAGGCTGCGGAGGTGGGTGAACGCGACGCGGCCTGGCGGCCCGGCCCGGCCCGTGTTTTGTTTCCGTTTCTCCCCGGCGCCTCGCGTCTCATTTCCGTTTCGGGTTCAAACAACGCCGCGGGGAGGAGGGGGGAAGCAGGAGGTCTGCAGGGAGAGAAACGGGGACGGCAGGAAGAAGCGGCACATGGCGGCCCTGGCGGCTCCCCGGGCGGCTCCCCGGGCGGGGCAGGGTCCGGCCGTGGCTGGGCGAAAGGCTGGGCGCGTAACGGCGGGCCCCCATCTGGCCGAGCAGCATCGCTGGAGCTTGCCTGAGCCTTAAAAACGGCTTTTGACCGGCAGTGTGCGGGGGTACTCGGCGTCCCACCTATGGCCTTAGTGTTGTTCCAGGCACGTGCTGCACGGCTACTTTTCCATGGCTGGGTTTGTTTTCGAACTTCTGACCCTTAGTTAGGAAGGAAAACGTCTGAAAACAGGCGTGACTTTGGCCTATCTAGCATCTCTGTCTTGAATGCAAACTGGCTGGTAACTTGCATAAGGCCCTATGTAAAGGCCCCGCTGAGTGTGTGTGGCATTACCAATGAAAGTACCGGTAGCACTGGCTGTACGAGTGCCCTGTGAAACAGCTGAACCGTGGGACCCTCCAGAGAGCAGGAGCATAACATCACCCAAGGTTGGAAAAGCCCTCCAAGATCATCCAATCTAACCAACGCCCACCATCGACGCTTTCCCATTAAGCCATGTCCCTTAGTACAACATCTAAATGTTTCTTGTGCAACCTCTTCTTTAGGTTTCTCTCAGTTTGTTAGCCCAGGAGGCTGCCTCTGTTGAATTCCTAGCTGCTTCATGGGATTGATTACGTGTATTTTATTTGTATTTCATCTGTATTGTATCTGTACTACTGTATGGTCACCACATTTACAGCATTGCATGCGATTCTTCTGCAAATCTGGCAGATTGAGAAATATAGTTAAAATACTTTCATTGAGTTTTTTTTCACTAATGTTTGGTGAGCTCCTTGAACTGCCCCTGCTTCGCACAGATGATAACGATGAGCACAAATTCTGTTTTGTTCTTCTTGTTGCTCAGCATTGTTTCACTGGTGATAGACAGCTGACATCCCAGATGTCTAATCAGGCTTCTTTCTTCCAGAGAATCTGTGTCTGGTTCTTGACATGACAGTCCCCAATCTCTGTAGTTAATAGCCCCAGTGAGCTGCTCTGTGTGAATTTGTTTTGTCTCATCTGAACATATGCGCACTTCCAGTCTTGGAGCAATCCTGTAGCAGCAAATTTCATTGGACGTTGTCTGAAACCTTTGTTTTGTTTGAAGCATGCTGCTTCTTAATATTATCAGGAGTCTCTATTTTAGTGTAAGAACACATGACTAATTTTCTCCATTAGTCTTCCTCAAAGTGTTACTGACTTCACGCATTTTGGTCATGTTATTCTTCCTCTTCCCACTCTGCTCACCTCTTTTTCTTGTGTTTTGTGCTTGGTGGAAACCATCTTTCTTCCCCTTTCTGTGTCTGCACTTTGCCCTCCTCCTCTGCCTCCCCAGGGTATTTAAAAGCGTAATGTAGTCAATGAGATGCAGCTGTGTAATGGTAAGAAGGCATAGCACTTAGGAGAGGGAATGAACAGTGCCAGTCCAGCTGCCAATTTGGACTCCAGCCCACAGAAACACCAAAATATATTGCCTTATTCTATGCAATTTCTGGAACTATTCTAGTTCCAGTTACTGTGTTACTGTAATGTTTACGCACTGTGTGTCATTTTGCATTTACCAATATTGAGTATTTTCTTTCATAAATCATTTATTTACTCAATCCTTAATTTCTAGAAGTCCTAATAGTCAACCAGATCACTTGTAGCAGTGCAGATATCAGTTCTTCCAGAGACTTAATCAAACTTGTCTCTTCAGAAGTGTTCCCCATGTAGTGTGAAGACGATATGTGAGATTAGTTGGACTCCTTGGACTGGCAGTTCAGCATAGCCATCCCCTGCATCTAGGAGAGTTTCATGGGGCTAGGTCTGATGAGAATGGAGCAGGTTCTGGTGGTGAGATATTAATGAGGTGCTGTTTAATTCCTATCCAACCCTGGTGGCTTCTCACTGATTGACATCAGATACAGTGCATGATTTCTTCTGGTAGCACAACTAATTTAACATAAGTTTTTGAAGGATGTGGTGTGATGAACAGCATAAATTTCTTTAAACAATTTCTCTAAAAGCTGTATGACTTGTTTATTATTCATTTTGATAAAATGAAAACTCCTTACTAGTAGCTGGTATGGGTTTAGTTTAGAACCTGAGAAAGAAAGAATCTAGGATGGAAACCTTTCTAGCCTCTTCTCTCGTGCAGAAGAAGGTAAATGCATAGCTAAATCTAGATGGCAAAATATGCATTAATTTTCCAAGAACTGTAGGAAGTTGTTTGAAATCAGCCATGAGAAGTTTTAGTTAGTCTATTCCAAAAGCAGTCAGTAAGTGGAGATGTATGCTAGAAAACAAGACTTTGGCCTCAGTGTTTGTTTCTGTTTGGAGTTCCGAATTTGCCCTGCATAACACTTCTTTGTCAACAGGTATTGTCATCTATTTTGTGAAATCGACGTTAGGTTTTGGTTTTCCCTTTTTCTTTAAACAACTATCTAGGTATTTGGTTTAAAAAAAGTTTGATAGGATGCAAACAATCAGCCTGTTTTGTTCATCTGTGACTTACAAAAAGAATTCGTCTTTGTTCCTAGCTCTGTTCTTAAGACGTTTCAGCCATGACTAAGAGAGAAGCAGAGGAGTTGATAGAAATAGAAATTGATGGAAATGAGAAACAGGAATGTACTGAAGAAAGGTATGTACTGTCTTTGCTTTTGAGAATCATTAGACTCTGATTTATTTATGTTTTGTTTGTTTTACTGATTTCAGAGCTGTGACTGCACACACTAAGTTCAGTTACCCAGGTTTATTATTAGTTATTGTGTAATGCTTCAGAGATGACTATGATTATGAAATAAATGCAAGTGTTTTCTAGCTAGGTGAAAGTAATAACTTTAAAGTGGTAAAAATAACTGGATCACTGTCATCTCTGTGCTCCCATGCTTGCTTGCTTGATTCTACAGATTTTTTGGCTTTTCTTATGGTTATAAAAGTCCTCATTTTGCCCATGCTCTCTTTAGTTTTTCTGTTCATATAATTAAGTGTTGTTTTTTGTTTTGTTTTAATGGAACTGTAACTGCTATTGGAAACCAGTGTAGTGCTGTCATATCCCAGTTTGGAAGGAACCTACAAAGAGCACTTGAGTCCAACTCTAGGCTCCACACAGAACCACGTGAAATTCAAACAGTGTGGCTGAGAGCACTGTAGGTTCGGGGCCGTGCCCACAGCCCCGTGCAGCCCATTTCCCGCCCACCGCCCTGTGGTGCAGCCCCTTTCCCTGACCCCCAGCCGCCCTCCCCTGACGCAGCTTCATGCCGTTCCCTCGGGCCCTGTCGCTGTCACACAGAGCAGAGCTCAGCGCTGCCCCTCCGCTCCCTGTGAGGAGCTGCAGCCGCCATCAGGCCTCCCCTCAGCTCCTCTGCTCTGCGCTGAGCACAGCGAGGGGCCTCAGCTGCTCTTTCACTCCTGTCCCTTTACCATCTTCACTGCCCTCCTCTGGGCGCTCTGATAGTTTTATGCCCTCCTTACATTGTGACACCTAAAGTTGCCCACAGTGCTCAAGGAAAGGCTGCAAAGCACAGAGCAGAGCAGGACAGCTCCTTCCTGTGCATGGCTGGCAGTGCTGGGCCTAGTGCACCTCAGGATGTGGTTGGACCTTTGAGTTGCCAGGGCACACTGCTGACTCAAATTCAACTTGACTCCAACACAACCCTCAGGCTCCTTTCCATAGGGCTTTCCAGCCTGTGACAGTAGTATATCACACTATTCAATCGTGGTTAAACCTCCCCACATTTTATTTTTTTATTTCTGTAGTACTTACAGTAACTTTTTCTTTACTTTTCAGTCTGTATGAATATTTTTATGTGTACTTGTTGCAGATGTTTCAGATTCAGCATATTCTTCTTTAACTGAAATGAGCCTTTAGTTTCTCCAGTCTATTGCATTCCTTGCTATCCAGGGCCAATTTTTGAAAAAGCAGAGATTAAAATCTGTATATTGTGATTGCATTATTGATGAGGCGAATAAAACTGTAGATACAGAAGTCTACTTTGCATTAGTTATCTCAACCTGGTTTTTAGTTCCTAAAGCTTCTTTCCTAATATTCACAGCTGTTTTTGAAAATATCAAAGCATGGGAAAAAATAGCCTAGGTTAGTAGGTGACCTGGTCTTTTAAGAACTTGTTTGTAGAACTATTTGAAAACCAATTATTAATTTCTCCTTATTCCGAGCTCCTCATATAATTTTTAATACTTTTGAACTGCATCCTTGTACTTTCTGATTTCCTCTGTTTAAACTGATATTTCTGAATGCCCATGCTAATAGTGCAGTAGGACAACCCAGATATGTGACTGTCTTTCGAGGTTATGAATTGCTGCAGTTCTTTCTGGTTGTCTCTTTTATGTGTTAGGTTTATTGTTATGCTGGTTAGTTCTAGGACATGGACATTTAATCTGCAGAAGTGGGGATTTTTTTTTTCCTTCTTTGTACCCCACGTGTTAAGTTTTCATATTTGACTTTTAATGTGAATCTTTTAAACACGCTGCATGCAAGGCAGACAGAATTAGTTTACTCAGTGTGAAGGTTAACGGTATGTAATAAGCTGATCGTAACTCAATATGTAGAGAACTCAAGTCTGAAAATAGTATTGATATTTAGCTTATCTTTTGAACTGTGATACAGCTTAGAAAAAAGTTAGCTGTAAAATCATCAGGATGGAATTTGGTACTGTACCCAAGTAATTTATCTGAATGGCATTAAGATTTCATATACGGTTTTTTATGTAGCTTATTTCTAACTTTTAAAAAATCTGTTCTATAACCGCTGTATTGTGTGAGCTGTACTAACATATGGGTAATGATTTATTGTGTTCATTTGGTACTTAAAGCATTGTTGAGCAAACCTACACCACAGCAGAATTTGTGAATCAAGCTATTGACATCAATGAACCAATTGGAAATCTTAAGAAATTACTGGAACCCAGACTGCTGTGTTCCTTGGATGCACATGAAATTTGTCTGCAAGATATCCAGGTAAACTGCAAGGTTATAGAAGATTTAAACTCTTACCACAGAGGCATTATACTTCATCTCTTTCTTTCATCATGAAATTTCCTGCTTTATTTTATATGTTGATGGAGTTTAATTTTTCGTCAACTTCCTTATCATAAAAACATTTAACGTGTGTACATAGATTCTGTATGAATGAATAAAAAAGCCTGAGACGTTACGGTTTGTTGGAGGGTGACACTCCCCTTACCCAACCACGGGTGAAAGAAGATTGAGTGTAATGAGAATACTGTCTAAGCAAAACTCATGAGGTAGCCCATATCGTTCGTTGCTATCTGAGAATCTTCTGAGAGTTCGATCTTGTTTTGTGTTTGAATAAAGCAGAAATATTTTTATGGTATTCAGATGCATAGGTAACACAGTATTTGAGAAAATGCCCCTCCCACATGTTTCTGCGGGCATCTCAATACGTTAGTATAACTGTTGTTATAACTTTGTGACTAATATATGTTTTCATTCTTTATTATTTTTTAATACTTCTGCTTTTATCAAGCTGGACCCAGATCGAAGCCTTTTTGATCAAGGAGTGAAAACAGATGGAACAGTGCAACTCAGTGTACAAGTAGTATCTAGGCAAGGTAAGCAGTTACGTTTGTCTGCTCTGTGGGCCATCTGATATTATGAGTGCTTGTGAACAAACCCAATGCTCTTCTCTTTCTAGCTGTAAATGGGTGGTCATATAATTTCAGGATGTATTTTTTTCACTGTTTACTGTGGTTATATGCAGTACCAATTAAAACAATTGTTATAAACTGACAAAAGCTATGCAAAATGTCTTATGAAACTTCATATCAATTTTAAAGTGGGGAAAAAAAAAATCTGGATCAAATAGTGAGAGTTACCCGGAGTATGAAGCTTTTGTTAAGGGTGAGTAGTTAATCATACCAGGTCAAGTATTAAAGCAGGCAAAAGATTTTTGTCTAGATGAGTGACAGTTCCATCTCTGTGAAGGTTGTTTGTGTGTTTTTTGTATTACTAGATTATGAGAGTAGAAGTTGTTAATTGAAAATGAATATGAAGGGTTGGGATCACTATTACCTGTTTTCTTTGAAGAGCTCTGAGTTGAGTACTGCTGAGATGGAGCATTAACCAAGTTGGTTATGTTTGCTGATGCACAGTCCGTGTTTGAGGTATCAGATAGGATAGTTTTCCCCTTGTTGAATCCTCAGCAATTTACTAGTTGTCAAAAAAACTATTTCCACTTAATTTTACATTGCAAAATGAAGGCGTATCTTCTCACTCCATGGTGTAGTACCTTACATCCTGACAGTACAGTAATCGTGACAGAATTAAAACAAACAAAAAGATTGATAAAGCTGAAAATCTGAGCTTTTTTAGTCAGGTTTTGACTTGCTGTTAAATGCACTGTTTTCTGCAGTGGGAGAAAAGGTTTGCTCCTGTGTAGACTTGAGAGACAGTGGGGGAAAACAGTAAACATTGGAAATAATCTGTGCTGATTGGAAGAAGGCAGCAGGTGCTTATGGCTTGTTTGTTTTTTGTTTTCCCCAGTATATTTCTTAAAGAACAAATATTTTGGTGTGTGACAGAATATGAAACTGCAACACTGGGGAAAGAAAGTGGGACAAATTTGTATTCACTTTTACTGAGTTAGTTCTCATTTAAGGACACCTTCAGAAATTCTGTGATGGTTCTTTTGTATAATGGTTCTTTCCAAAATATGCTAACACATACTAATCAATTATCCTTAATTTTTCTTCATTTGATGTGTACCTAGGGACAGACCCCAAGTTAAATATCCTTGAAATCGTGAAGCCTGTGGAAACTGTGGAGGTAGTAATTGATCCAGATGCTCATCACGCAGAGGCTGAAGCTCACCTTGTTGAGGAAGCTCAAGTGATAACCTTAGATGGAACAAAACACATTACAACCATTTCAGATGAGACCTCTGAGCAGGTGACACGATGGGCTGCAGCGTTGGAAGACTACAGAAAGGAGCAGGAGCGCCTAGGCATACCCTATGGTAATAATATCTGATGGTAAATTGTGCATGTGTTGGGTTAGGGAGGTGGGGGTTGGTTCTTCTGTTTGTTTGAGGGCAGGAGGCCTGTTTTTCATAAACGATAATTAACTTGGGTTCTGCAATTCAAGTGCTCTGGTAGCTCATAGGCATGTTACAGATCAGTGCCATGCAGATTTATTTAGCCTTGTCTTATGCAGAGATGAGTAGAATCAGTGCTTCTAATATTTCTATTAAAATGATGCTTTTTGTTCTAGTACTTCTTTTACAGTGAGTTTTTACAAAGCAGTTTTCTTCCTCCTCCGTAAAAATGCGTTTGTTAATGATAAAGCTCTTTTCATATATCTGAAATTGAATTATACTCAGTACTTGGTGGGGGTTTGCTTCTGAATGTACCAAAACTAATTGTTTCATGAGTTGCAGCATACTAAGTATATTGTAAACTCAGATTTTGCATGGAAAGCCATGCTTGGCTTCAGCATAATGAGGGAGAAAGAAAATTCAGAGATGGATATAAAGATTCTGTAAATCATCACCTCTTCTGAATTAATGTTGATACTGAGCAGGTTGCAAGTTTATTCTTACTTTAGAAAAAACACCTCTGAATGCCTGCAGAGGATTGACCTGAAACTGTAGGTTTTTTGACCTTTATCATGCTCTGGAGATTATCTGGCTGAGCTGCATGTTCTGACTGGCTGAATAAGATGTACTGTTGAGGCATGTTCAGTATATGAGGCTGTGCTCTGTAAGCACAACTGCAGAACGAGAGGGTGTTTGGAAAGGGAAGTTTGAAGTGCTTAAAAATCCCAGTGTAGTTACATGTCTTTGTAGTATCTTGCCAGTATTCAAACATATTTTTGATAACTAAAGCAGTGGTCTTTTGATGCCTTTTAATTGTTCTCATTGGCAAATATTTCCAAAACAGCTTTTATCATGCTCTGTCTGTTGGTAGTCAAGGATTTGATGCAGAATGTTTGTGAAGATAGAATGCATTATCAGAGCAGACATTTTTCAGCATGCTCTCCCATGAGGATGCTGAAAAAAATAAAAAGTTATTTAAAACCACATTATTATGATGCTGAATAATGTTGCTACTAAGTTTGAATAGTTCTGTTGCTTTAAGTAAAACCTTAAGACCCACAGCTGTGGCTGTGGAAGTTGAATGTCTTCTGTGTCGTGGGAGTGCAGATTTTCCAGGAAGATCTACTAGTTTACTACAGCAGAAATCTTTGTATTAAGAATCATAGAATCACAAGGTTGAAAAGGACCTACAGGATCTAGTCCAAGAATATTAACGTTTATTTGCCTATGTTTAGTTCCCAGTGTAGGTACTTGAAATGAGGCACTGTAAATTTCTGATATAGTATGTCAGATATTCTGATATGATATAATATATAGTCCAAATTTTCTGAGAATGTTAAAGTTCTTACCAAGTCCCCAATAAAACCTTTTCAAATATTTCTAGATATGTATATTAAAAAAAAAAAAAATGGAAAAAGAGGCAAATTTCCTTTAGAAAGTTGTGAGGTTTGGTTCTGTGAAGTTCTCTGAAATTACTCATTTAAATTATTTCCTGGATGTTTTTAAAAGACATGGTGTGTTGGTGTTAAAAGTGAAGTCCAATCAGTAGAAAATCACCACCTGGAGGGATGTCTTTGCCCTGATGGGCTTCTCTGTTTTGCTGCAGATGGAAAAATTAGCTTTTAGCAGACCTTCGAAATGTTGTGGCTTTCCCTTTGTGATACGTTTTGGTGGGTTTTGCCAGAAACTGCAATTCCTCAGCTGTTAAAAGTGTTTCTGCTAATGAAATCCAGAAGTTTAGTGCTGTAGTAAGGGTTCCTAGGAAGAATGAAAGTATTCATTGGAATGAGAAACAAAGCCAGAAAGGGAGTTGTAGAAACCCTAAAAACAATGGAACCTGGTCAGGGAAAATAATGATTTGTGTTGCCCTGCAATCATGTTCAAAGGGAAAAAATTAGCAGACTTTTTTGGTATTTAATTGTGATTTATTATAAGATTCTAAAGGTAAGATCCTTTGGTGTGGCTTTTCCCAGAGGATTACACTACATGGCTTTTGGTAGCGTTGATGAGAAATGATGCAATGTTACTTACTGTCTTTTATTAAGCGAAATAGAAATTATTGCTCCTAGTTAATATTTATAAACTTAGAAAGCTTTGGGTTGGTTTTTTTTTTTGCTTTTTAAAATTTTGGTTAGCATATAATTTAAAAATATCTCCTTAGTCTGTTCATAGAAACTATAAGGTTGTGAAAGACCACTAAGATCACCTAGTCTAACCATCAGCACATTCCCACCATTCCCACTAACCATGTCTCTCAGTCCCACATCCACACACTTCTTGAACATCTCCAGGAACAGTGACCCCTCTTCCCTGGGCAGCCTGTTCCAATGCCTTGCCACTCTTCCTGAAAGAGAAGAAATTTTTTCCTAACGTCCAACCTGTGCCTCTCCTGGTACAACTTGAGGCCTCCTATCATGTCACAGTTACGTGGGAGAAAAGACAACCCCCACGTCTCCACAACCTTCTCTCAGATGGTTGTATTGAGCTATGAGGTCTCCCCAGAGCCTCTTCTTTGCCAGACTGAATGGTTCCAGCTCCCTCAGCTACTCCTCAGACACATTACCAGATTTCTTGTCCTCTTCTGGTTGTACTCCAGGGCCTCAATGTCTTTCTTTAACGAGGGACCCAGAGCAGAACACAGTGCTGAAGGTGTGACCCCACCAGTGCTGGATATGGAGATGTGATCACCTCCCTACACTTGCTGGTTATTCTTTTTCTGATACAAGCCAGGGTGCTGTTGGCCATCTGGGCACAATACTGATTCATGTTCAGCTGGCTGTCAACTAATAACTCCAGATTCTTTTCTTCTGCACAGATTTCCATCCACTCTGCCCCAAGCCCGTAGTTTTTGTGGGGTTGTGTGATTGAAACTCAGGACCCAGCACTCGGTCTCTGTTGAACCTCACACAATTAGCCTCAGGCCAGTGATCTGGACTGTTGGAGTCAGCTGTCCTAGCTGTGTCCTTTACCAATCAGTTGCCCACCCATACCTACTCATTGGGAAGCTGAGTGAGGAAGAGAAGGCCTCAATGCACTGTAAGTTCTGCTTAGCAGTTGCTAAAATGTCAATCTGTTGTCAACACTTAACTTGGTTGCAAATCTAAAACACAGCAACACACAGACCGCTGTGGAGAAAATCAATTCCATCCCAGCCAAACTGAGTACAACTGTGATTTTAAATACTTTAGAAACTGGGATAATGTTGAATGAATGTAGAATTTAATATTTCTACATTATGACACACTTAAATGATGACACTCAAATATATTTTTTCCATAACCGTATCATAACATCATGCAGTGAACTGTCTGAATTGGTACAACTGCTAAGGAGGAACCAGTTTGGAAAATGCTTCAGTATTTCCCACGTGGTTTTTGGGAGGGAGAGACAAAGTGACATAGTTAAGTCCCCCCCTTTTTTTTTTTTTCTTCTGTACCACCAAGCAGCATGGTTAGGAGACGTCCTCTTTCTCACTGATTTAATGTATTACTCTTGATTTCTTTTATATTGTATTAACTATTTCACTGAAGTGATAAAAGAATGTGAGATGTCTCTTTATATCAATTAAGCAACAATTCTGCCTTTTCACTTCTTTGTTGGCTTCCCTTTTGGGGGCAGATGGGAGGAAGGGGCTAGGCCTGGCGTGCAGCAAAGATTCAACCTGAGATAGTGAATTGACACCCAATGTGGGGCATGATAGTAATTGAAATAAGAGATCTGCTGGATCTGTGTTGCGGTTTCAAACAAGTTTTGTCACCATGCCAAATTGTTGCTGTTAGCTAAAGAAGAAAAGTTATTTTTCTCCCTTTTAACAGTTTTTCAAAGGAGTGCACACAATTGTGCTTCAGATTGTGCTACTTAAAACCTATTGGAGCTCTTTTAAGGAAGTCACTCTGGGCTCTTTGTGTGTGTACACCGGACCGATGCTTGTATACAACATGGCATGATTTGCGCATTACAAATTACACTTCAGGTGTTGCTAATGATTCCACTTCTTCCACTGTCTGTCCTCCTCCCATGCATTTCCTTTTCTCCCCCTTGAAGTTTTTGCATGTGTCTGGAATGTCCAAACTGCCATAATTATACTGTCATGCTAACCGTATGTGCTCCTCACTATTAATATTGGTCAGGGATCTGCTCCAAAGCTGGAAAATATTGAGTGGCAGGGGGTGGGAAGGAATTTAGGAGAAAACTTAGAGAATTGGGCACCCCTGGTGTCATTGAGTTTCACTCCTGAACACCTGTAGAGCCCTGAATGTTGAGGGAAGTATTTCAGAGAGGAATATTGTAGCTCTGGTGGATCTAAGGAGGCACAAATTATCTAGGGCCTGACTTATGCCTACCAAGCCCTGTTCAACACTATTCAAGGGAAGGGGATCTGTGATTCCAAGAGAGATAGGTGTTCACCAGTTACGTGGTGGAAGTTCACATAAACCACACCAGCAGTTTTTGCCAATACATTGTCAGCAATGAAATGAAAAGATAATCAGAGACCCTGTGTGAGTTAGTTGGACTACCACCCTTTGAGAATATGAAGAAAACTTTGCCTCCTCTGTGCAGACCTGTAGAGAAAATGTACAAAAACTTGGCAGGTTTGACTATGAGGTTCAGCCCTTTAGAAACCTGGTGCCCTACTTCCCAAAATTTCTGGATGATTCAAGTTTCCCATCTGAGCCCATTGTATAACCAGTGCAATCCGTGTACTCCAAGTAGTATCAGTAGCATGGTGTGTAGAAGGGACCTTCTCTTTGGACATCCAATTTAGCACTGGTAGTCAAGGTGATATAAGGAGCTGTGCTTCAGTACCAACTTCTGAAGCAGCTTGAACCTGCTTATGTGCTACTAATATATTTTTTTCAGTTGGAGTGTAGCGCTCTTCACATCCTCTGTATCTTGGTCTCTAAAACCAAAGGGATCGACCTTGGGTCTCCTCTGGTGTCCTTTTCCAGAGGCTGCAGATGGGACCCTTCTCCCCAGCTGCAGTGTAGAGCAAGTTTTTTTTTCACTGTGTCCTGTCTGGACTGGTCCCAGGACTCCTGCACAGGCTGTCTCCTGTTTACTTTGTTCAAAAGCTTATTGTTGTTCAGGTGCAAAGTCATTCTTCTTCTGTGTCACTTGATAGAGGGCTTACATTGAGCCTATAATTGGGGATATGCATTCTACAGAAACCCACAACACCTAGGAAAGATTGTTTCCTTCTTACTAGTTGGCAGGGACGTAACTTTGATTTTGTTGATGCATCCACTGGGATGTGAAAATGTCTGTCTTGCCATTTTATTCCTAGGAACTGGATTTCCTGTGCAGGTCCCTTGACATTACTTGACTTAATACAAATCCTTCTGCAAGCTGGTTTTGCTATTATTTTCTTCCCTTTCTTGAAAATTTTGCTGTTTTGCCCCACGTGATAATGTTGTCAATGTACTGCAGGTGCTCAAGAACTCCACTCTGTTCCTGTGTGGTCTGGAATGGCCAATGGCAGATGATTGGGCTGTGTTTCCACCCCTGGGGCAAACAGTTCCAAGGGTACTGAATGCTCCCTGAAGTAAAGGTAAACTGTGGCCTGCACTCTGCTGGTAAATGGATGGAAAAGAGTGTATTGACAACGTCAGTTGTGGTTTACCACCTGGCTGCCTTTGATTCGAGTTCATATTGAAGTTCTTGCATGTTAGGTACAGCAACACTCAACAGTAGTGAACTTCATTCAGGCCATGATTGTCCACTGTCAGCCTCCATTCTCCATTGGCTTTTCGTGCTGGCCATATGGGGCTGTTAAATAGTGAGCAAGTCTTGTTGATCACTCCTTGGCTTTCCACTTGACAGGTGAGCTTATGGATGTAGATTAGGTATTCAAAGTAGTCAACTTGTTTTTTTTTGTTTGTTTTTTGTTTCTTAATTGAGCAGCAGCTCCTCTTTCTCGCTTCTCTGCTGGCTTCCTATGGAGGGGGTGGGATGGGGGGAGGCAGCTAGGCCTGTCATGAGGCAGAGATTCATCCTGCAATAAATTGATTGTAGATCTAAAATGTAGCAATGCACAGGCTGTTGTGGAGAAATTTAATTTCATCCCAGCCAAACTCAGCACAACTGTGATTTTAAACATTTTTAGAAACTGGGATAATGGTGAATGAATGCAGAATTTAATATTTCAGCATTATTGTACAGTGATCAGTGTATTAGCAGAAGAGCATCCTGGTGTGAGAGATGCTCGCTGAAGTACAATGGAAAAAAAGAAAAAAATGATTTTGTGTATTGAGAAGTGTTGTGGATAGTTGGGATTTTCCTTAGGAAAAAAAGTCTTTCACATCCCTTTTTTGCCCTTTCCTGCCAAACAAATACCTTTTCATTGGCATTTTAAGAGAAGTCCATCTTTCCATCTAGTCAAATTGAGTCACCATGCCTCTCCTTGATGTTAAGATAACTTGTCTTAAAATAAATGCATAATTGAGAGCATACTGTCATTGAATCTTGAGTATAAACACTGACTGGCCTAGAAACAAGCTTTAAAAAATAAAAAACAAACACCAAAAAACCTTAAAGGTTGTATAGAAAAATAATTGTGAAGAGGAAAGGGACCTGGTGGTGTTGGTTGGTGCTCGGCTGACCATGAGCCCACAAGTGTGCCCAGGTGGCCAAGAGGGCCAACAGCATCCTGGCCTGCATTAGAAACAGTGTGGCCAGCAGGAGCAGGGAGGTGATCATCCCCCTGTACTCAGCACTGGTAAGGCCGCACCTCGAGTACTGTGTTCAGTTTTGAGCCCCTCACTACAAGAAAGACATTGAGGCCCTGGAGCGTGTGCAGAGAAGGGCAACAAAACTGGTGAGGGGTCTGGAGCACAAGTCTTATGAGGAGCGGCTGAAGGAGCTGGGATTGTTCAGTCTGGAGAAGAGGAGGCTCAAAGGAGACCTTATTGCACTCTACAGCTTCCTGAAAGGAGGTTGTGGTGAAGAGGGGTTTGGCCTCTTCTCCCAGGCAACAAACAGGACCTAAGGAAATGGCTGCAAGTTTTACCAGAGGAGGTTTAGGTTAGACATAAGGAAGAACTTTTTCTCTCAGAGAGTGGTCAGGCACTGGAATGGCTGCCCAAGGGAGGTGGTGGAGTCACTGTCCCTGGCAGTGTTCAAGAGGCGTCTGGATGAGGAGCTACGAGATGTGGTTTAGTGCTTGCGGTAGCAATGGTCATGGGAGGACGGTTGCACTGGATGATCTTGTATGTCCTTTCCAACCTTGAGTCTATGAGTTCTATGAGTTCATTCTATGAGTCTGATGATCTCTAGGTTACACTTCTTTGAATCCCATGGCTCACTCAGTGGCCACTTGTATTTCATTTTTTTGAAGTTACAGTGAGGATTACCTCTGTAACCTCTCTGAGAAGGAGCCTTGCAGTTTGTGATGGATGTATTGCAGTTTCATTTCTTTGTTTTCCAGACCCTGTGCAGTGGTCAACAGACCAAGTGCTCCACTGGGTAGTATGGGTGATGAAGGAGTTCAGCATGTCAGACATCGACCTTAATGCACTCAGCATTCCCGGGCGGGAACTCTGCAGCCTCACTCAAGAAGACTTCTTCCAGCGAGTCCCACGTGGGGAGATTCTGTGGAGTCACTTGGAACTTCTTCGAAAGTGTATGGGATTTTTCTGTAACTGTTTTTCCTCTCTTTAATATTAGCATTAAAAATGAGGGCATCAGCACAAAATAACAGGAGGTATTAGTAAGCATATCCTCGTGATAAGCAGCTTCCCCATTGTTCATTAAACTGCGTAAGTAATATGGAAGAAGTATGGATTGATAAATCCTTTGTGTTTTTTTTTAATTAAGATTTTTAGTTTGTGCGTCTCCTGAATTTGAGAATTTTATAATTAAATATTGATAACAAGTTATTTAGTGTACATCTCTGCCTCACATAGAATTGAAGAGCATTAATCATAGGCAGTTAAATCCTTAGACTGTGCACAGTGTGACTGAGAAGCAATGCATTTCTATGTGTATAAATATGCTTTCAGACTTACCATGCTTGCGTATAACCTGGCAGACTAAAAACTACTTCTGTCACATTTTGCATTGTATGTCACATTACATTATATACCTAAGGGCTTTAAGGTATATAGAATGCAAAGGGCACCTAGAAATTCACTATTAACGTACTTAGTTCTGGAAAATAAATGGTAAAGCATCAAATGCTTCTGCATACCCACAAGACCATGAGCTATGCGTGTTTTTTCCAAACTGATGGAAAATGTTGGGCTCTATTCCCCTCTATGAAATATGAAAAGTTTTGATTTTCAAATGATGATAAACGTAAGCTTGAAGCTAATGTTTTGAGTAAAAACTCTTTCTTTCTGATCTGCAGATGTGTTGGCTAGCCAAGAACACTCTGGAGAAATAGCAACTGTTACTATTGATCAGCGTAAGTATTTCTGCCAGAAGTTAGTTAATACACTTAACTGCTTGCAAGTTTGACAGTGTGATTCTGTGCTATATTTGATGTACAGTGCTATAGTGTGACTTTCTTACTGTTGTACCTAGACTGTAGCTTTCTTTGATGAGAGGAGGCTGTATTCTAACATTCAAAGTGAAGCATTTGATTTCTCAGTATCTCTTTACTGGCTGAAAGATGCTGTAAGTTAGAAACTTTCATACTTGAAGAGATGCATTTTGGATGATAGATTTTCCTCTCTATTGAAATAAGATCTCAAGGGTGTAAGTTTTGAAGTTTTGGTATTTTGTGCTATGTATTGTTTTAATGAACGGGTAAGTTATAATTCTTTTATTTAAAAAAAAAAAAAAAAAAACCTGTTGAGAAAGAAAAAAGTGAAGGCATGTGTAAAAGAGGACTTGCTTGAAAAATAATAGAAGAAAAATTTTAGAAACTCCTTTTAGATGTAGTACAGTGACATCAGTTATTAAAATTGAATTTTCAGAGGACTTGTGAGCAGCTTATGTATTAAATAGACATGTACAGCATCCTGAGTTTGTGTCTAGTTAAATTCACCTAGAATGGGACATTCAAATCCTCCAGTCTTCATTGCTGTTTGAATAGCAGACATGAAGGATTGCACAGACTGTAGAGAAGAGTTAAGGTAAATCACATGGGAACGGCATAAAAATGAAATCAAAGGCATGAGTTTTATTATGTAAATATGTGAAACATAATAGTAGACTAAAGCTTTATCTACAACGTGCCATTTCTATTACACGTCTTAAAACACATTTTCTAATAGAAGTGGTAAAAATGCTTTAAATTCTCAGTGTTGTGATTTCGACAGTGTGCATCTTTTTAGTGAATGTTTAAAAAAAACAAACCACAACCCTAGCTTTTGCTGTTATCATGTAGACCGTAAATAATATATGCCTATGCATCTGATGGTTCTCTACCTAGCTATTTATAATTGATGTTCTGCAATGTTTTCTGCTTTACAGCTGTGCACATTATTCCAGCATCCGTACAGCCTGCTACTCCAACCACCATTAAAGTAATAAACAGCAGCGCAAAGGCAGCTAAAGTACAGAGGGCTCCAAGGATCTCAGGGGAAGACAGAAGTTCCCCTGGGAACAGAACAGGTATTGTCTACATCATTTTTAAATGCAAATGCAGTAAACACTCATTAAGTTGAATTACAGTTTTATAGGACATGTCTTTGTCACTCTGGTTGCAAGGTTTTTAGAAAAATATATGTATAGATACAAAAAGGGACTGTGTCTAGAAAATGCATCACAAGCGTATGCGAACTTGTCAGGTTGGGTTAACTCATACTGTCATTTTTGCTTTAATATTCTCCACTTCTGTGAATTGCTGTTTTAAATCCTTAATTCTCCTTACCCTTACATTTTCCTTTTTTGAAACTCTGCGTGAGAGTCCGTTATTGTCATTCAGGGCTTTTAGGCCAAGAATTTGTCATCTAACATCAATGCAAAATACTGTTTTTCCCTCTTAGGAATTACATCTACTCTCTATATCTCATTGAGAATTTAGTAATTTAACTGCAGATAGATGAGTTAAAAAGAAATCTTACTGATTGATTGTACGTGCAAGGTGATATATTGACTTAAACTGTGGTACATGGGACTTTCTTCCCCATTTCTAATATTACATGTAAAAAATCAGTGAAAAGTGATCATTAAAAATATATATATACTCTATTGCATATATATATTTATGCCTGAAGAAGAATAAGCAAATCATGCTTAATCTGTTCTATTTCAAAGTAGATGTGTGCTTTAAGTGATTATTTGTGCTGTTAGATAATTTTGTTCCTAAATTCTAGGAACAAGTTCATGGTAAGTCTTAATTTTCATATTACTGAGTTTCTTTTTGCATAGATTGATACAAGGACTTTGCAGGAAAGTATTTCTTTTGTTGTAGAGAAGATGAAATAAACTAAATGCAGGCTCTCTTTCCATTGTATGTTCTGTGTTGGTTTGCTTTAATCTGTTGGTTGAAAATTTTTTGCTTCAGTGTGAAAATGAAGAAGGACTACTTGAAGTGGATCTTGTTCCTATTTTGGCAGGAAACAATGGCCAGATCCAATTATGGCAGTTTTTACTAGAACTTCTCACTGACAAAGATGCTCGGGACTGTATTTCTTGGGTTGGTGATGAAGGAGAGTTTAAATTGAATCAACCTGAACTGGTTGCACAAAAATGGGGGCAGCGCAAAAACAAACCCACAATGAACTATGAAAAGCTTAGTCGGGCCTTGAGGTAAGAAACTTCAGAAATTGATCAGATGTTTACTTACTCTTGACTACTTCATTTTGAGCTGTTTTAATAAAGGACCTAAATGTTTTCGTGGGATTTTTTTCAGTAAGGAGATAAACAGTTCCTGTAAAGCTGCTCCTTCCTGTTAGATTGTACTAGTCTTCTCTTCATAGCAGTTATTGTGATAATTTCTTAAGCATATACAAATTCTTTTTTTTCCCCAAGATTGTTGAACACTAGCAAGACGGATAATCTCTGTAGTTAGCCTTTCCTACATTTATTTCTCTTTTTTGACACGTCTTCAACATTTATACATCTACCCATTTGTGAACAGTACTCGTTAGTGGGGAAAATTACAGGAGTGTTTGAATAGTCTGTATTACTGACTTTCATATTTACTTGTTTCTGTTCTTCTTATATTATGACAAACATTCTTCTGTAGTTATCGGTTACAGGTTTTCTTCATTCCATCATGACTTCTATAGTTTGACATTGGTAAAAAAGATTTGTATTATTGAATCTCCATAGGTGATATGGTTGAGGGAGCGGGGAAGAATGCGAGTAGCTCCATTTCAGACTTTTTTCCCCAGTTAATTTGGTCTCTAGGAGCATGGGAGAATTCATCCAAGTTGCCTTAAATCATTAGGATTGCATTTCTTATTTCCTTTTTGGATACAGTGAACGCTATTTCTGTTGGTTTTCAAGAAGGGTATTTGCAGCATTAAGCAATAAATATTTAACTAGTTTTAAAGTTGTGTTGATGTCTGAGATATAAGATGGACTTGTAAACATTTCCACTTTTGGCTATGTTATTTTTCATAAAAGGAAGTAAACTCATCTAGCATTGTTTAAAAAATACCAAATTCTCTGTAAGTTTACCTCTTTGAGGAAATAATGCTAACACTGAGGATGACTGAAGTTTATAAGCTCGTAAATTGGCATGGAGTAAGTAAAGACAACTATCTCATTTACATGAAGAGGAGGCATCAGAAGAAATTGGTAGGCAGCAGATACACAGCTTAACCATACAATATCACTGGGCAGCTCGTCCCACTCTTTGCCTGTCCTCCAGGGGAGGAAGTTCCCATACCCAGTTTGATCCCTTCCCATTCCATCTTATGCCAGTTGTTGTTCCCCTGCTTTGTGCCACCATACGTGGCTTTTCTTTTCCCAGAGACTTCTCTATAGGTACTGGAACATAGCTGGTAAGTTCCCCTGATGCCATCCCTTCCCGGGTGCCATTATGCAATAGGTTTGAGAATCTTCAGGGACAGGTAAGTGAGGATGCAGTGGAAGGTTCATCCAGGAGGTTGTCTAGGGCAAGGAGGACAACTCTAAGCCTTAAGGCTGTTTCTGCAAAGAAGGAAAGCAGGGTTAATTGACTTAGACATTTCCCTTCTGTAGAGAACAGAGGGCCCAATATGTGAGCCAGTCTCTACCCATAGGAAAGCTTGCTGCCCCCCTGGCGCCTGGGTCAGAGAATGACTAGAAGACTTCCTGACCTTGTTTCTTCCTCCAGTTATTCCCTACTGATAGTTCAGGCTGACTGCAATGAAGTTGCTGAGAGAAACATGGGGGCTATCAAAAGGCACTTCAGGGGACTTGGAGCAATTAGTGGATAGAGTTGGGAGTACAGATAATGTTTTCCGTATCCCTTTAGTGGCTTGGAAGGACCAGGAAAACCCATATAATAAATACATGGATATGAAGCTGGTGCTACCACAGGAGTTTTGGCTTTTTTGACCATGGGGTGATTTACTTACCTGATGGCTGCAGGTAGGGTCCACCTGGGTCAAAGGGGAAAAAGGATTTGAAGGGCTGCAGTACCATTCCACTGTTTCCAGTGTGTTTGTCTGAATCTGTGTTTATGCATAGAACGTATATGTGAAAACTTACAGAAACATCAAATTTTATAAATGATGCTAATTTTTGGGGGAGTTTATCAACAAGCATTGTTGATAAGAGGAAGGTCTTAAAAGCAGCTGAAGAACTCTAGAATAATGTTCTTATCACTGTGATATTAAACAGATGTCTGAACAGTAGTTTCTGTAAATTAGTATAAGAGAAGTTTTACAGTTATATTTCGGTTACTGAATTAAAGAAATCACATTCCTCAAAATCTTGCCATTTTGCAATTGACATGTTTTCTAACACTTGAATGTCAGAAGGGATCTTTAATGCCTCTCACTTGCTTACTGCTGAGATAAACACTGTTGCCAAGCTGAACTTTTATTAAAACAAAAATGGTAATATGTTTTGTTTATCAGTGTACTGAAATTACTGTATCAGTTTTGCTTGGTGCTGAAACTGATATCATTGAGAAACATGCTCGATCGTCCAGCCAGCTGTGGGAAAAACAGTTTTTGTCATGAAAAGTGGAGGGGCAGCTTGTTGTTATTCCTATAACTTAGTAGTTTTCTGCAATCAGCATCTGTTTAATTACCCTGTAGCAAACTAAGACTTGGAAAAAAAAAAAAAAAAGTATTAATTTCCTCTATCGTTCTGAAGCAAAGTTTCCAGGTGATTCAAAACATTCTAACATGATAGCTAATGAAACCTGCATGGGTACTTAGAGAATTATGCTTGTGGTTTTTGAATAGGCAAATGCTATACGTAAAAACGTATTCAACATATATGTTACCACATATGATTAGACTGATGTGATTAGATTTTTAACTTTGCTTAAATTGATCTTGCTGGTGAAAGAGAAATATCTTTATCTTTTTTCTTCCTATTCTGTTTAATACTGTAAAAACCACAGTGCTGATTTTCAGGCTGCTTCAAACATAAACTGTTTATCTCAGAAAAGCAGAGATGAACAAAGAAGGCAAGAGACAATAATGAGGGGGGAGATAATGCCTTCTTACCAAGGCTAAGCACTGTGTAAACTTCCATCCCCTCTTCTCCAACCACAAGCTGTTTTTGAACTGGTCTAGCTTAGAAATGATGGTCTTGGTGCTTTATACAGTTTATAAAATAATTACTGCTTTGTTTCCCTTCAGTATATCAGGGTGCAAAGGGCAGCTTTCAACTCTCTTCCCTTTCTTGTGAAAGAAAACACTCAAAGTTGATCTTGATACATAAAATTACGTGAGAATCTTAATGTGAAAAGATTCTTATTTCAGCATCCGACTGTCTTTACGTAAATGACTGGATGTGTGTGGAAGTTACAGATTCTGAAAACTTAATTTGTTGGTTTTGTTGTTTTTGTGTTTTTTTTTCCACAGATACTATTATGATGGAGACATGATATGCAAAGTGCAAGGCAAGAGGTTTGTCTACAAATTTGTGTGTGACTTGAAAACTCTCATTGGATACAGCGCAGCAGAGCTGAATCGGTTGGTCAGAGAATGTGAACAAAAGAAACTAGCAAAGATGCAGCTTCATGGCATTGCACAGCCAGTTACAGCAGTAGCATTAGCTACTGCATCCCTGCAAACAGAGAAAGATAATTAAGCACTAGGACCTGAAACGGGAACCCATGGCCTTTCCTATATAGCCAGAGAAGTTGCTTTACTTTTATCTGAAATGGAAGCTTCTTCTTTTTCTTCACAATACAATACCATGCATGATTTTCTACAAAGAACTGGGACTTGTGTAAATTTGGATCTTTTAGCAGCATATGTTTCAGTGTAAGTTAAGAGATCACCACAACTTCTGCAACTTTCAGTCAGGGCCTTTATGATATACAATCTGAAATTGGTGGAAAAAGTTGAACTGGTCAGCATTCTGCGTTCGCAGCTCTACAAAATTATTTTTGCAGTGCTTTTTAACAAAAATGAAGTAAACACAGGCTGGGCAGTTGTCTGGATTTGATTCCTTCCAGCTTTTTGTTCTCTGCTGAGCTACCAAATTGAATTTGATGCTTTTAAACTTAAATGAACCTTAAATGTTCATTACTCTTACCTAATCAAGCAGAGCTGAAAGGCACACCAAACATGACAAAGCATCGGGTTCCTCAAATAACTTCTGTGTTTATAAGGAAAGGAAACTAAGACAAGGCAGAACTGAAGATCTGTGCTGAAGAAAGAGATCCAGGTTTAGATCTGGCTTAGGTGAAAAGCCAATTATGAGTATTTCACTGTAATATGTAGATAATCTGCATTTATGAGGGCAAGTACCAACCTGTTAAAAGACCTTGTTGATGCTAGCCATGTAATATGAAACAAAACTTCTTTCCCCACCATCCTCCCATCAGGTGATTTGAGAACTTAAAAAATATCCCTCACCCAAGGAGTAGTCTGTAGGTAGGTTTTGTTTGTTTGCTTGTTTTTATGCTCTGTTCTGTCAGGTGCTTTATACCTGCATGATAGTCAACCCTAGTGACTGAAGACTAAGTTAATCACAGTCATTAGTCCCTTGCTCATTAGAAACAAAATGCAAGTTGAAAGTAGTTTTAAAGAGAACTGAAATTTAATTTCCAAATTATTGTACAGAATGACATGTATAAAAGTGCAAAGATGTGCAATTTTTATTTAAAATTAATTTCTTTCTGAACTTCAAATGATGTTTCTGAAGTTTCATAATCCAAATGCGTGCTCCAGAACTGGGTACAATTTGAAGTATGGATGATGAATAGAAATGCTTGGAATATATTTTGAATTTTGAGACACTGGTATAGAGAGAACTTCATACGAAAGTGCAGTAAAAAGCAGGCTGCAATGTTTGAGCTTCTACTTTTATGACTATTTCTTTTGATGTTTGAAAATAGTGTGGTTTTAGTACACACCTTTTTTGTTATTAAACATTGTAATTGTTATAAGGCATATTTCCAAACTTTTTATAACTGAGTACCCTGCTCCCACTAACATTTCACATTCAATTAAAATGCAAATGGTTAAGGGAAAACCTTTTAATTCAGCTACCCTTAAACCTTAAATAAAAAGTGCTTGTACAGAGACTTTCTAAACATAAAATGTATTTACATGGTGAACTGGAGTACTAGGTGGTTGTTCTTAGGCTGAAAAGGAATGGTCTTACTGGTAGTCTTACTGGTAGTCAGAGGGCAGAAAACAGAGCATTCATCTTTATTTTAAAGATGGGTTGAGGACAAAGCTGTTTGTTTTATAGGTGCGTGTTCATTTGCAGATAGCTTTTGATTAATTAAAAAACTTGCATGCATTTCTAGTTTACCTTTTTATTACTTCCATAACTATAACACTTTCTTGACAGATTCTTTCATCAACTCTTAATATTATGTTCATTCTTGGGTGCTTAGGAAGTATTCCATCAACTAAGCATGTTGACTTTTTCTTTTTTTTTTTTTTTTTAATGAAATCTAAGCCATGAGCAAAGTATGTGTCTGTCACTAGAAGTCAACCATCAATCCACATTTGCTGTTAAAATAGTCCAACTCCACCAACTGGCAAGTGCTTAAGGTGACTTACGCAAATAGATTTGCTTTCTAAGAGTAAGGTGAAGCTGATAGTTCAGTGGCAGCAACTATGTATATATAACATCATGCCTTTACTAAACAGAAGTCCAATACAAGTTGCTAGTTCTATTCAGCAGAGTTCATGAAAAGCCTCTTTGTTAAAATACAGTACAAAAAAAGTTTAAAAAAAGAAAACACAATTTACTACATCTAACTGGACTGCAGTAGGATAAACTGAAGTTGAAATGTAATATCAATTATTTATTCCCCTGAATGTTCTTTCATACATGGTATGGGGAAAGTTTTGATATCACACTTGATTTGTAAATGCATCTGCTTGTTAGTTTGAACTTTTTCAGTAGCTATACAGTTCTTTGGGTTGTTTTGGTCATCTACTTTTCCACCTTGTTCTAATTTAGCAAAGAAGAAATTTTTCAAACAGTATAAAATCACTGACATATTTTCTGTTGTTGAGGGAGAAACCTGTGACTAACTTGATGTCTTCAGTGAAAAAGGATGTAGAATATACTGTCAAGAGTTGTTCTGATGCTGCCAGATAAAAACATAGAAAGAATATTCCCAATTTTTTTGTAAAAGAGAAGGTTTTTGCATACTTTTTACTCTTTAAATAAAGACACTTATACTCTGCTGATAATTATGTATTTGTTTTGTGTTTTTCATTTTTTTGGTAATTTTACATGAAACAGTTATTTTTACTCTAAAATATTTGTGCATAAAATGTCAATATAGTAAAATAAAAATGTTATACAGCCAGTGTCTGACGTTAATTTTTCAGAAAGCTGTCTGTAATATTCATGCATGATCAGTTTAAGGATTAATGTATGCACTGCATTCTCATTACTTCCAAGATCACAAATGAGTTACAAGAAAGAAGGCAAATAATTTCTTTTTCTTTTGAAGTTGTGTAGTCTTTGACTTGATACTTGCCTGTGTATTTTCTACTGGAACTCAGTATACCTCGTTTTCGTAACAGCTTACTTTAACATCTTAATTGCAAATCTTAAAATGGGGCTATAATAAAAAATAATGATGGAAACAACAGTAGGACATCTTGGATCCTGGGAAAACAGTAATTCTGTTCTTTTAGGAATGCTTAAAATTGAAAGATTTATATTATTGGTAAATGAATGCATCCCAGCAAGGACTTTTATTCTTCATTCATTCATGTAGTCTCCCTTACTTCACGTGGTCTTTGAACTCCAGTGTTAGCTCTGTTCTTGTTCAGAAGATCAAATCCTATTTACACAGTTATTACCTTACTTTTAAATGTATCTTGATGGAAATCTTCTCATTGTACCTCTTATCTCATCCATCTAGACTGTCAAGTTCAGCACTGAAATATTTGCTCATCTTTACACTGAACGGATTGCTCAGTTTAATAATGTTTCTGTTTCCCTTGGCATTTTGAGGCATTTTGTCAGCTTTCTAAAGTGCATTTAAATGTGCTCAGTGTCCAGTGAAATGACAACCTTTTATTGGTGCTCATAGTAATTAGTATCTTCATGTCCATCTGAGTTTGATCTGGGATTCATATTTTGATTGGAACAGCGGAGAGAATTATGGATTGACAGCTTGCAGCCATCAGTTGTGTTGTCTTGTTCTGCTTACAGGACTCCATTGCCTGATCAGTGAAAGGTGAGATGAAATGTCCACTGACAGGAGTTCATGGCAGAATTTTTTTGAAGGAAGCATTATGCAAGATCTGATTGCTCTGCTTTGTGGGAAATATACCAATTGCAATGGGGATTTTAGTTTGCTCTTCAAAATCATGTGTTGTGTTGCTCATCTAGCAACACAATATTATGACTTCTACAATATATTTGACTTGATGCTGTGTAGCTTCTTTTGAGAAAGTAATTTGTTATATGAATTACGCTAAACAATGTTACTTCAGTAATTAATAATATGCCTCTGTTACATTTTGTATCTGTATTTCAGGTTGAGCACCTAACCAGGCCTCAAACTGAAACGTTGCCAGCTTGTAATTGGAGAGTGTTGATGTTCTAGCCATTAATAATTTGAAAAGGTTAAAAAAAAAAAAAAAAAAGGCTGAGAAGGGTGAAGAAAAAAAAACCACAAATATTTGATATCTGCTTCTAATTAAAATAATTGTGGCACTGATTTTCTGGATTAAATGGTGGTAATGGCAATGGTGCCAGAAGATGCCTGCAACCTATGGAGTTGTTCTTGTTTATCTCAACAGAGGGTCTGATCCTTGTGTTTGTGGTTTGTGACATGCAACATCCAGGTATGTTCTTTTATGAGGTAGTATCACCATAGCAATCTATGAAAGGAGAGAATTTGAAGATAATAAGAGAACGACTCTAAGCTGTTACTGAAAAAAAAGTAGTTAAAAGGTGAAGGTAGGTATGAGAAATGGTTGTACTTAGGTGTTTGTCTAATGCTACCAGAAACAGCTGAAATTGTCTGAAATGCTTTTTTTTATTGCCCAGCAGTTCTTGAATTGTAAAGGGACTGCTGGATAGTAGATGTTCAAAACATGAGGTTAATTTCTTTGAGGTTGCTTTCAGGCTGCCAGTATTGAATTGTTTAGAAGCTGCAGGAGAAACACTTGATTATCTCATTGTAATTCTGATGAGTGTGAAAACTCATAGAAACTGTATTTTTATCCATAATAGATCTGATATCTTAACACATCTTAGGTTTGTAATTTGTGTTATAATCTAAAGGGAAGAAATTACCATTCAGGAGCTGTGTTTCCATGTATCAGAACTCACAAATCAAAAGCAAGGAGAAATGGTTACATGAATTAGAATTTAAGCAAGCACAGTTGGCACCAAGCAAGCTGTTTCTTGAAAATAAGATTTGTTGCTTGTTTGTAATTCCTCCCTTTTAGGGAAAGGTATATTTTGGGTTTAAGAAAAAAAAAAAGTTAACTGCTTTCTCCTTCTTCCTACCCAACCTAGGTTTTTCAGTATGCTCACTCTCAAGGTGTATGCTTCATGGGACCTGGGCTTGCAAGAAGCCTCAGTTATAGAAGGCAGTGAGATATAAGTGTACATAAAGTAAATAGATTAATAAAAGTAATGGGGAAAAAAAAAAGAACTAAACAAACCCACCACTAACAGCCAACCTTGAAAGCTGCAAAGTGTGTGTATGGGAAAAAAAAAGTTTGAAAATGTGACAATGCAAGAAAGTGAGAGATGAGATTAATTAGAGGGAAAGACATCTGCGAGAGACAGTTCTGTCTATTTCAGGACTGAGACCAAAAAATAAAGAAAATAAAGTTGTTTTTTTTAAAGTTGTTTTAGAAAAAATCCTAATTAAGGTAAAGTTTTATTGCAGAAACTCTTTTTTTCCCCAGATGGAGTACGTTTTCTGTGTCCTTAGGCATGCGAAAGTGTTGGGCCTCACAGGAACTGTGTAGAAATACATATACCCACAATGGGACTTTGGTTTCCTAATAAAAATGACCTGAACTGTTCCCACCATGGGACTAGGAGTTGTAACAGGAGCTTGAACATGTCCTCAGGCATAATCCACCAGCCCTACAGTGAGCTCTGTAAGAACAAAGGGAAAAAGTTAGCTGGGGAAGGCTTTTATTGTAGGATTATTAGGAACAAAAGTCTGTCTTTGCTGCTCTACGATATTTCCGCCCCTGGGACTGTTGTACTCAAAGGGTTACAAAACCCTGAAGTGTTCCAAGTTCTGTGAGACTGAATGCCCAAGCAAGAACATACCCAAATCAGCCTGCTTGCTCTGTAGGAAAACAAAGCACAAGTCAGTCTTGGTGCAGCCAGCAGCTGTGGAGTAACCATTTGCTGAACTGTTCAACTACAGAACTAGTTGAAGTACAGAAGTTCAGGTTGGGTGTTAAGAGCAATTTATTTTCAGGAGGGGTGAAGCAGTGGCTCATGCTGCTTAGGGAGGTGGTGTCACAGTCCACCATCTCTGGGGGTGTTCAAGATATAGCAGTGGGATGTGGTTTGTCAGCATTTGGGGGTGGGCTGACGCTTGAACTATATGATCCTGGAGGTCTTTTCCAGTCTTAATGATTCTATGGTTCTATATATTGTGTGAGTTTTTGCTTGTATCCTTGCTTGGTCAGATAGTATTGTGTCTTTTAGACTTCACTATTCCATAGAGGAAGCTTAAACAGAGGAGTGCTTTTATATATATATATATATATATATATATATATTTTTTTTTTTTTTTTTTTAA